TTGTTACGCCTCTAATGACCTTGGTTGTGGAAGGTTAGTAATAATCTTGTAACTTTAACGTCTTGTTCTTGGTATTAACAACAACAACAACAACAAAACAACAACAACTATTACTACTACAACTATTACTACTACTACTATTACTACTACTACTACACAACAACAACAACAACAACTGCAAGAATAACTACAACAACAACAGCTACAAACAACTTCTAATACAACAACAACAACCACCAACACCAAACACCTACACAACATGACTCGGCAAAAATATACCAAAACACCAAAAGTCGTAAAAAAATGAGAAAAAAATTATAGCACTCTAATGATCGCCACGAGGCACCACTCTCGCCACTAACACATAACGTCGAAAAACAAAACCCAAACAACACGAATTTGGCATTATGACCGGAAGTGGTTAGGTTAGGTTAGGTGTCATATTGGGGCCGCATATAAACATTTGTGTAATTAGGAAAGATTTTTATTTATTTATTTATTTATATCTTTTATCTGTCCTTCTCTCTTTTCTCTTTCTTTTTTTCTCTTTATCTCTCTCTCTCTCTCTTCACAACCTCCACTACCTCAACCACACCTGGACTACGCGGTTCAGTTCTGGTCACTGTACTACAGAATGGATATAGAATCCCTAGAAGGAATTCAGAGGAGAATGACAAGACTAATCCCGGGCATTAGGAACCTTGAGTATAGAGACAGGTTAAAGCATCTTAATTTGTACTCCCTCGAGAGACGTAGAGCGAGGGGCGACCTGATAGAGGTGTATAAGTGGAAGTCAGGGCTAAACAAAGGGGACATAACAAAGGCACTCAAACTATCCAACCAGGAGCGAACTCGTAACAATATCTTTAAATTAGACAAATTTAGATTTAGGCGGGAAATAGGTAAACACTGGTTTGGAAATAGAGTAGTGGATGAATGGAACAAGTTACCAAACATCATCATTAACTCGATTACGCTGGATAGCTTCAAACATAGATTGGATGGATATATGAGCGATAGGGGTTGGGTGTAAACAGGACTGCCAAGTACGAGTCAATAGGCCAGCTGCAGTTTCCTCCATCCTTATGTTCTTATGTACCCCTACCACCATCACCACCATTACCACCCCCACCACCCCCTACCACAACCACCACCATCATCACCACAGCCAACCCACCACACACAGGCACTTGCATTTTTCTCACATTAAGGTGATTATAAGCACCTGTGTCTTGCTCTACGTCAGCTAATTAACTTCCAGCGTCTTCAGGTGGTGTGGCTGTTGTTCTTCACACTTTGGGGTACAAATATAACAGGTAGTGGTGGTAGTAGTAGTGGTGTTGGTGGTAGTGGTGGTGGTGGTGGTGGTGTTGGTAGTAGTGGTGGTAGTAGTGGTGGTGGTGGTGGTGTTGGTAGTAGTGGTGGTGGTTGTAGTGGTGGTGGTAGTGGTGGTGTTGGAGGTAGTGGTGTTAGTGGTGGTGTTAGGATTGTTGTTGTTGGTTGGCAGGGGCGGATTCAGGAATATCAAAAAGGGGGTCCAAGAAGTTGTGGGTGGGGGAGTACTTTACTGCATTAAAGGAAAATAGTGGAATTTTCTGGTGAAAACGGGGGTCCGGACCCACAGGAATCCCCCTTGCGGTTGTCGTATGATTATTATAGTATACGCATTTTTATCATAGTATGCGCCTCGCTGTTCTAGTTTACTCGTTTTCTATAGTACACACGACGAGCATCAGAGAAAACGGATCCATACTTCACCTTCGAAGGGAAACTATCTCAAATCCACAATCTGACCAGCGAGTGAGTCATCTGATGTAAGAACTTCCGGGTTACACTATCCAGCAAATCATACTATAAACCACAGATGTTGGGGAGCTTTCCGAGTCGTATCGTGGAATATCGCAAATAATATAATGGCATATCATGAGTCTGTGTCTGTTTGTCTGTCTATGTATCTATTTATTATCTAAGTTATATCCTATCTTATCTATTTAACTAACAATCTATCTATATCATATCTTATCTATTTATCTATCTACAAGACTGTTTGACTGTACGCGTGTATATCTTTCTATCATCAGTATATGTATGTAAGTTTGTATGTATGAATGTACAATAACGCCAACACGGCCCTGAAGTCAATCCCGTGTACACAAAGTTCGTCCCTGAGTTGCACTACACACCAACAGTCGCCACACCTCCCTATTACTGTGGGTTTACCTGTGGGTTTACCTGTGTGTTTACCTGTGGGCTTACCTGATTCATACAGGTGTGTTTGTCCCCGTCAGGATCTGTGAGTAGTGAGGATGTAATTCTGGGTGATCTAACTCTGAATAAAATATACTAATCTAATCTAATCTAATCTAACTCAGGGTAAAATTGTAGAGCGTAAAACAAGGTCATTGTTTATCCGTGTAGAGCGGAGCACAGCACGTAGGGAACACGACCTACCTTAACCCTTTGACTACGATGACTTAACCCTTTGAAGACGATGATTTAACCCTTTGACGACAAATTATTTAACCCTTTGACGACGACGATGATTTCTGAAACACAGTAACACAGCACATAAGGCCCTGACCCCAACCTTACCTTGAGAAGAGCTGTAGAGGTAGTCATCCCTGAGTGATCTCGTCTCCGTGTAGCTGAGGTTATCGTCGGGGTCATCGTCGTTGGGGATGGTGTAAGGGTCGTCCTCGTTCTCCTCCTCCACTAGGGTAGGAGGAGGCGTCAGCTCATACCCCCATCGCCGCCTGAAGGCACGAGCTCCCCCATCAAGACGCATACGAGGCAAGTCATAGAAGAGGGAGTCGCCGATCTGCAATAGAGAGAGAGAGTGTGGTGAGAGGGAGGTGTGGTGAGATGGAGGAGTAGTGAGAGGGAAGAGTAGTGAGAGGGACGAGGCATGATAGAGGCACGATAGAAGCAGAAAACAGGCATGATAAAGACTCATTAATATCAAATGATTAAACTGTATATTCAGAAAAACAAAATCAATATAAAGTGTTTTCTTAGTTATATATATTGAGATATAAATAAAGTGGTTATCCTGCGCGCGCGCGCGCGCACACACACACACACACACACACACACACACACACACACACACACACACACACGCCAACTTTTCCTTAATAACATAACATTTCTTGTACTACAGCATTTTAAATTACGTAAAGAGGAAGAAAATATTGTCTTCAAACCTGTGATTTTTTTTCCTACTTCTGTAATTCTACGTCTAGGTGATAGTGATGTAAATATAAAGAAAATACGACAAACTTATCTAAACATTCTTTATTGGTTGTAAATAAAATATGTGTTTATCATATTGTACTTAGCATAAATAGTTCATTATCACCCAAGTACAAGTGTCTTTATTCACTTTGTTCCTACGTCAGTAATGTTGTTTGTAAATGAATCAAGTGAGATCAACCAACAGGTGAGGTAACCCGTAACAAGCATAAGTACCTGGGGGAGGCAGGTAGGGAGCACCTTGCACCTGGAGGAGGCATGTGGAGCCTCTGTATGGTGCCCTGGGTGGTGCTGGGAAGCCCGGAGTCTGGCCCTGGGGATGAGGTGCTGAGACTTGGCATCGGTCCCACACACCTCACCACGCCCACACAGTTTTTGCCCAAGTCTTTGAGCTATTCCTTGTTTCACACTTTTTACCTTTTTCAATGACTTTTTCTCTCGTTTATTTGATTCTTTCTCTTTCTTCTCGTCGGTGCCCTTTAGCGGGGTGCCCTTGGCTAACCCGGTACTGGTCATCCGCTGTAGGCGCTGAAGGACCGGTGTGTCGGGTGGCTCAGCGAAAATGTGACACTTCTTACGGTCATGAAGGAGATGATAGCTGGTCTTAACACAACAGTCCACAGCCAAACACGTCTCTAACCACTGCATCCTCCACCACACTCTTACCTACACACCCAACCACCTGTAATATTCACTCGGTATACTACTGCCTGGTGTGGAGGTTTGTTTAGTGACGCGACGTAACCACACTAGTAGAACGAACTGTCAACACAACAACAATCGTCCTGTCGAGATAAGTTCCACCAGCCTCCCCGCGACACACACACACAACTACCAGGCGAGGCAGCACGTTGTTCGCGGCCAGTACACCGTCAGTGACTCCAATATCATCGAGCCCCGAGGCCGCTTAAGACGCCTCAGCGTGAGTCACGGGTGAGTCAGAGCGGCGACGCGGGGTGGGGGTGCAGGAGGGACGTCAAGCGGACCGGAGAAGGGACACCATGACACACACACACACACACACACACACACACACACACACACACTTTTTACCTGTTTTACTCAGAAGTCAAACAGATCGATGGCTTCAGGACTGACTCACGAAATTGCTTATTGTTACGCTAGTTCACGGCGGCGTAACGACTAACATTCACGCCCTACAAGTTACAACACACAACCTATACGTCGTTACACACATACACACATTACGAACCACACGATGAGAAATTCAGTATCCTATTACCATGAAGAGAGAGAATCATCGTCATTATTTACGATCCATCATCCATGAATCTCGTCACTGTCATCACTGCCTTACATCTGATGTAGGCTGGTCACCGAACCTGAGAGAGAGAGAGAGAGAGAGAGAGAGAGAGAGAGAGAGAGAGAGAGACGACCCCCCCTCCTTCACACAGACAACAAGGACAACACGACCAGGTCAGGACCCCCGGAGTGGCGACAATGCAGTACAAAATAAATGAAGCGACGCGTTAGAGTAATTTACCTGGTGACTAACGCCTGGTTCACCTTCAGGACAAACCACGACGCAGCGGCGGATCACCCTGGTGGCCACGACCTGACTGGGTTAAGGTGCAGCATGGTACACTAGGAACAGCATAACCATGGGGAAGTTACAGTGTATGTATGTGTGTGTGTGTGTGTGTGTGTGTGTGTGTGTGTGTGTGTGTGACCATTGCAACGGAAGCCCTCAACTGACCTTCATGGTGACTGGTCCTCCACTGATCCAGCTCCCTCACTCCCTCCCTCACTACCCTCTCTCCCTCCCTCACTACCCTCTCTCCCTCCCTCACTCCCTATCCACCCTCCCTCTCTCTCCATCCTCCCTCACCACTCACCTCACTACCCTCTCTCCCTCCCTCACTACCCTCTCTCACTCCTCACCCCTTCCCTCACTACCCTCTCTCCCTCCCCTCGAGCCATCTCTCTCCCTCCCTCACCCCCATCCACTCTCCTCTCTCTCCATCCTCCTCCTTCACTACCCTCACTCCTTCCCTCACTACCCTCTCTCCCTCCCTCACTACCCTCTCACCCTCCCTCACTCCCTATCCACCCTCCCTCTCTCTCCCTCACCACCCTCCCACACACTCAACAGGATGATGCTACCCCTGTACTCGTTATGTTTTTGGAGGGTCTATTAGGACTACGGTCTATCGGGTCTTGGTGTCTAATAGGACTGGGGGTCTATTAGGACTACGGTCGGTCAGTCTGTGTCTACACAGACTGGGGGTCTATTAGGACTACGGTCTATCGGGTCTTGCACCACAGGACTGGGGTCTATTAGACTACGGTCTATCGGGTCTTGGTGTCTAATAGGACTGGGGGTCTATTAGGACTACGGTCTATCGGGTCTTGGTGTCTAGACTGGGGGGTCTATTAGACTACGGTCTATCGGGTCTTGGTGTCTAATAGGACTGGGGGATCCATAGGGACTACGGTCTATCGGGTCTTTTGTGTTCATTAGGACTGGGGTCTATTATAAATGAGTCATTAGGAACAAACGTAATAAGACTTGCAATCGATAATAGATGGAGCTTCCAGTAAACTGGGGCTTATATAACACGAGGCCCACAGTACATAAGGCCTACTAGACATAGGGGCTCTACAGACATAGGCTCTACTAGGGACATAGGGCCCACAGGACATAGGGCCTACTAGGACACTGAGTAAGTGGGGAGAGGAAAGTTATTGGAGAGGTTACAGCAGAGGGGCAGGCCTACAGGTGGTGGTGGTGGTGGTGGTGGTGGGTGGTTGAGGTTGTGGTGGTGGTGGTGGTGGTGGTGGTGGTGGGGATAGTAGTGGAGGTGGTGGTGGTGGTGGTGGTGGGGTGTGGTGGTGGTGGTGGTGGGTAGTGGTGATAGTAGTGGTGATAGTGGTGGTGGTGGTGGTGGTAGTGGTGGTGATAGTAGTAGTAGTGGTGGTGATAGTAGTGGTGGTGGTGGGTGGTAGGTAGTGGTGATAGTAGGTGGTAGTGGTGATGTAGTGGTGGTGATAGTGGTGGTGATGACTAAGGTTCTCAAATCCTCTTACTGTAGAAAGGGTGATTCATCTTTCTTGTTCTGTGTCTGTGTGTGTGTCTGTATGTTTGTGTGTGTGTGTGTGTGTGTCTCTACGTGTCTGTGTTTTGTCTGTAAGTTTTGTATCTGTGACGTGTTTACATGAGATAATTATCCTGTGTGTTACCTGTGCGTGTCTCTAATCATCACACACACACACACACAAACACACACACACACCTGACTGTACTTACATCTGTCTCTTCCAAGTATCCTCAGGTATGACTCAGGTGTGGCCTATAAGTGTTGACTTTATACACGCTGAAACAATGTATACTTCTATGATGCTTTACTGATTCAATGTATTTTTCTATCCAGTTATGTATGTATGTATGTATGTATGTATGTATATATGTATGTTCTCTGATATTGATCCTCACTACACTCTATCTGTCTCTTTATCACTCAGTATCTTTCGTTAACACCTTTGTATTCTAGCAACACTTTATCCAGTTTATCTCCACAACACTTCACAACACCTCACAGCATCTCACAACACCTCACAGCATCTCACAACACTTCACAGCACCTCACAACACCTCACAACACCTCACAGCACCTCACAGCATCTCACAACACCTCACAACACCTCACAACACTTCACAACACCTCACAACACACAACACTCTGAATCATAAGCACTGTGCCCATCACTAACACCTCACACGACCGCCTGTTCCCCTGAAACACTGAGACCCACAACAGGTCAGCGTCAGCACGAGCGATCAGCAACGCCTGGCAGTGTCCTCCACCCAGAAATGACACTGTGAGGGATAAACACGGCAGCAACACAAACACAATGAGGCGGCAAGCACACACAACACACGCGGCACTAGAACACAGTGTGAAGGCTCGATAGCAGCAGCAGCAATGGGCAACAGCTTTATGGGGTGTGAGCAGTGACCATCACCCACAGTGGTCACGAGAATAACACCCCCTCCCCCCACACACACTCACACCTCTTCTCTCCTACATCCACAACATTACCCTTCACCTCACTCATACATCATACACCCACCACCATCACCCCTCATACACACCCTTCTTTTCCCTCATTCACCATACACCCTCCCTCACACACCATACACCCTCCCTCACACACCATACACCCTCCCTCACACACCATACACCCTCCCTCACACACCATACACCCTCCCTCACACACCATACACCCTCCCTCATACACCATACATCCAATCACAACTTCTCACCATCATCTTACTCACTCGTAAACAATCTTAACTACAAACAGAAATCACAAACATCTTAGTAAAAAAATTTATCTCCTTAAAGTCAGGTTGATGTTGTAACACCTCACACAGCATCAAGGACAACACACACACACACACACACACACACACACACACACACACACACACACACACACACACACACACACACATCTCCCCCACACAACATCGTCAGCCTCCAGACCAACAAGGCATGAAGCTCCACACTTGGTTACGTCATTTAACAAGGTAATTATCATAAACTACCATAAAGCATCAACAGGTGAGACGGGTCCTCTATTAGTTCCCTTCATTATTTGGGTGATGGAATTTCTCCCACCTGTATACGGGCAGGTGTGTAGGGTGTTTTGGCAGGTGTGTAGGGTGTGTTTTGGCAGGTGTGTTGCGTAATTCTCTGACTTGAAGTGACCTGGTGCCATTTTATGTGACCTGAAATGACCTTGTGCCATTTTATCTTACCCGAAGTGCCTCTGATTTCAAGTGATTTAAACTAAGTGAACACAACACCAACCTAACCCCTTCTTCAGAGCTTCCTACATACCACAAGCACACCAGCAGGAACCAAGCACTACTACACGAGGTCATCACGCAATAAGAACCCCTCCTCCTTCCCTCAACACCCACCCTCACCCACCCCTCAACACCCACCCCTCAACACCCCCAGATATGCGACGCCCCAAGATCCCGATAATCACCCCACAAGAGGGAAGTGTTGCACAAGGAAGACAGCCATTATGTCATGTTTCTGGTGCATCGTCCTGTGACCGACCCCACCACCAGTAGGCTCCCTCACACAACACACCTGGCGACGAACACCACTAGCAGGGGGGGGGTCTTATGTGTCCCTACGTCGTCAGGAGGAGGAGGAGGTGGAGGAGGACGAGGAGGTGGAGGAAGACGAAGAGGAAGAGGAGGAGTAAAAAATAAAAAACAAAGCCATCACTATTCTTTCCAAATCTTAAAAAAAAAAACTAATATAACACAATTAACAACAAACACAACATCAAAGAACTATTGATTTAAGACAAGAGTGATATACATGCCCTTGATAATGACAACAAAACGACCAATACCACCAAACAAGTTACTCCCTCTCTCTCCTCTTATCACACAAACCCACTATAGAACGAGACGAGCCAGGTAGCATCAAGGTCGCTCATAGAAAACGTGACTCATAGCAAACGTCACTCATAGCAAACGTCACTCATAGGAAACGTCACTAATAGAAAACGTCACTCATAGCAAACGTCACTCATAGGAAACGTCACTCATAGAAAACGTCTCATAGCAAACATCACTCATAGAAAACGTCACTCATAGCAAACGTCACTCATAGGAAACGTCACTCATAGAAAACGTCACTCATAGAAAACGGCACTCATAGAAAACGTCTCACAGCAAACATCACTCATAGAAAATGTCAAAATTGAGGGAGAACTATGCTAAAAATAACATAGTCTACCTGGAGAGAGAGAGAGAGAGAGAGAGAGAGAGAGAGAGAGAGAGAGAGAGAGAGAGAGAGAGAAAGAAATAGTCATAGGAATAGGAAAATAAAAAATAAGTAGACAAACTCATACCAGACAGACAGACAGACAGACAGACAGAACACTTGGACACATCAACAACCAACACATATCCATCAACACTCATCCGGACACACCACAA